GAACAGAACCTGGGACCTCCAGGGGAGCAGCAAGAGCTACGTCATCTCTCCAGCCCACCCAGGGTTTTATGTTCTCTCGCTGATTTTTAGGACAAGAGATGTTAACTTCCACCTAATCATAATTCCACAAAGAAACCCCGCCTGCCCCACAGATGAGATTTGACATGAGCCTTCTCACACAATCCAGGAGGAATCACCAAAACCTGGTGTGTGGCTTGGAGTTGTAGGAAGCAGTCCTACATTGCATGGGACCAGTCAGATCATGTCATTTGCCTGCTCAAAGCTACTCCAGCCTGCCATTCCATTCAGAAAAATGTTTATGCTTCCTGGTGACCGCAAGTCCCACTACGGGGAGCCCCATCACCCTCTCCTCTGTGGGCTCCTCATGCTTGCTTAGCTCTTAGGTCTTCCCCAGGCTACTACTTCACCAGAGGAGCCTTCCTTGGCCGCCATCTCTGCAGCAGTGTTTCCCAGCCACCGTGAGCCTTCGCCACTTACTGTCCTTTTCCTCCACTTAGTATCTTCATGTCACTTAAAGCCGTCAGCTGTGTGTTTATTTGTTGATAACTGACTCTGCCTGCTAAGACGAGAGTTCTGTGGTTCTGTTCATTCCTTACTCTTACTTTCCAAAATAACACAAAATACACAGTAACGATGAGTGACTGCCGCAAGGGATGAATGGTCCTGCTTAGGCAGCCAACCGCCGCCCGTGCCATTACTTGCCCTGAGAGGTAAATAGTCGGTATCTGGGCAAGAAACAGCCTCAGCCCCCCATTGTGCTGCCTAGAAGGCAAAGAGTAAAACCTGCACCTAAGATTCATGTGAATGCATTACTCCTCTCTCCATTAGAATGGTGGTTTCTCAAATGGAGACGAACATCGTCAGAATTCAACTTCTTTCCCTGTTTGTCTACTACTCTTTGGCTTTAACAAATAAACCTTGGAGCTCCCTCCGGGTATGAAAGGCCTTCCCACCTATCAGCTAAGACACGTGAACTAGATATGACAGCTGTGTGTCCTGAAACATTTGATTTGGGGCTTCCTAATGGTAAGGCTGGCCAAGCTCTCCTTTGTCTGGGTAAAAGCAACCTTTTCAGAGAATAGACAAAATCGCTGCTACCCAGTTGTGAGCCAACAGGTTGATTTTCTCTGAAAACCATTCCAATCTGTAAGGACTAGCAAATAATTCCTAAATCAAAAACATATTACTTGTCTCATCTTTGTCTCGTCCATTTCTGAGCTCTCGAAAGAGAGAACCATCCTCCTTCTCCAGCACTGATGAGGGGGGAGGCAGGCTGGGCTTTTCACAAAACACAATGCTGAAATAATACTGAAGGAAGGGATCCAGGTCTGCTTTCTGTTCTATTGTCTTATTCTGTCAGCTCCCACATCTCCCCAAATCCAAGCTTAATAATTTACAGCGGAAAGACATTTGATAAATAAGGGGCAGGATTGGAGCTGTCAGCGCACACAATGGGGTTGTTTGCGTCTTCCTGCTTGGCGTCAGCACCAACTCTCTCGGCTCGCTTCAACTGAAACAATCCCGTTCGCTATTTTCATAAAATTAGTTCCTCTGCAGTTTCTATTAATCAGAACATTCTTCAGAGAGAATTATATGGGGATTTTATCACCATCTGACTTCAACCATTCTGTGAGTCTGATGAATTTTTATCACCTCCCGAGTGGCAGAGAGGGTAAAACTTGAGTGGGCTAATGTGAGCAGGCATGGAGCCTTCCCTTAAAGTCAGCAAGGCCTGACAGATTGGGGGACCTGGGTCATTCTCCACCACTACCCACTGGAGTAGTCTTCCTCGGCAAGAATCTATAATTTTAAATATTGTTGGGGTCATGGATTTCCTTTGAAGTTGTAGAAAAGCTACAGCTATTCTACATTTGCATCATTAAGCCGCACAATTCCAGGGAGTCTGTGGACAGCCCTTCTGCCTTCCATACACATAGCTACCTATGGACTCCAGAGTTAAAACTGTGTGTTCTGAGCTTTCCCAACCATCCTTCCCTTAGCAATCTTTAGCTGGAACCTCTAAATTCCTTGGCTGAAAGAGAAAGGACCAAAATGTTTTTAGAAGAGAAGATGTGATGATAAGATTTCTTATAGTAGCTGCTATGGTTTAGACAAGTGTCCCTTAAAGACCTGTATGATTCCCAATCCAGGGTGCTATTGGGAGGCTGTAGAACCTTTGGGACATGGGGCTAAAGAGAAGGAAGTTAGGTCACTGTAGCTGAGGGGTGTGCCCTTGAATAGGCCATGGGCTCCTTCTTCTTTCTCTGTTTCCTGACAACAGCCCATTAAGCAGCTTTGCTAATCATATGATTCCCACCATGATGTGTTGCCCCAGGCTGCCAAATCACGGAACCGACGGAGGATAGACCCAGCTTCGGAAGCTGTGAGTCAAACTAGACCTCTCCTCATTTGAAGTTATCTCACTCTTTTGTATCGGTTTTGGAAAGTTGATTAACACAGTGACCACATTATTTTTGAAAAGCAAGGAGAAAAAAATGGAAAAGAGAAGGCAATTCAAAATTGCTGAAATAAAGTATAAATGCCTAACATATTGATAGGAGCTTCATGGTATTAGTGTCAATGGGACATAGGATAAAAATTATGCAAGTTTTGGCAAACTTTCTATGCTTCCAGCTTACAGAATACTGGCCTCATCCTGAGTAAGGTAAGCTCTGCCTGAGAAAGGAGATAACATAGATGGAAGAAACGTTGTACTGATAGAAAAGGCTTCTGGAACTTTCTCTGTCCACTGACTGTGTGGTTTTAGAAAAGAAGTAACTTAGTCTCTACCAGTCTGAGAAAAAAAAATGATAATGTCTGACTTCTAAGGTCTGTTCAGTTCCGATAACCAGTTGAACCTGCTTCGTTATCAGCATCATTTTAGTAGTTGTTTTATTGAGATGGGGTCTCAGTATAAAGTCTTGGCTGGCCTCATGCTTGCTATGTGACTCAGGCTGCTCTCAAACTTGAGACTCTTCTGCCGCAGCTTCCTCAGTGTTTAAACTATAGCTATAACACATGGCCTTACAGGAGACATCCAAGGTAGAGGAATCAACCTTTTCCTGAAGTTCCCAGAAGTTAGGTATTTTAGGCTATGAACCCCGTAGTCTGTGGTTACAGCCCAGCTGTTGTTATTGCATGGAATCTAGGCACAATCAACATAAAAGCAAATGAGCACACTGTGTGGCAATCAAACTTCACTTATGGCCATGGAAACTTGAATTCTATGTATACAAAGTGTACACAAAAAGGAAAGGGGCTTGGTTTTTTATTTTGCTTTGTTTTTGTTTGTTTGTTTTGTTTTCTGTTTGTTTTGAGACAGAAGTTCTTCTCTTTGTAGCCCTGGCTGTACTGGAACTTTCTCTGTAGACCAAGTTGGACTTGAACTCTATTGATAGCAGAACAAATGGTTTCACACATTTGAGAAGGACATGTGAACACTGTTTCTTGTTGTTTTGTTTTCATTTGTTTGCTTGGGAGAGAAGAAAACTGTTTAACAAAACGATTTGTTCTTTATGGTTTGGATCTATGGCTCCCCAAAGGTGTAGAGAATGGGCTTTCGTGGCTTTGGAGAAAGTGACTACTGGATCCTGAATGCTCCACCTCGACCTCATCAGTGGATTCATTACCTTAGATGGGGCCATGGTTAGACAGACTGCTGGAAAGGGATGGGAACCGTGGGACAACCTCTCCTGACCTTTAGGAACATGTGCACGAATGTGGTACACATGCACACATGTAGGCAAACTATTCATACACAGGAAATAAAAAGTTTAAACACCAGGCCAGGTGGTGGTGGCGCACGCCTTTAATCCCAGCACTCGGGAGGCAGAGGCAGATAGATCTGTGAGTTTGAGGCCAGCCTGGTCTCAAACTGGTCTCAGCCTGGTCTACAGAGCGAGTTCCAGGACAGCCAGGGCTACATATTGAGATTGGAAGGATGGGGCTGGGGCCGGGGAGACTGAATGCATTTAATCAGAGATTCGGACCCAATAGTTTGCTTCCCAGTGTTTCCATATTTTGTCTAAGGACACAGGTTCAAGGACCAAAGTTCTCAAATCTGGCATTGCTTTCGGTTGTTGTCTGTTTACCATTCCTGCGTCCACAGTGGAGGATGCAGACCTTGCCCTGTTTCCTTTCACTGGCCTGATCTTTTAATCAAAGCCTGGGCACAAAATCGCGACAAACTCTGGGTAGCAGTTAGGCTAAGGAAGACCACTCTTCTCTAAGTGTGGACCAGCTGCCTGGATAGGGTGGCAATAATTTGATCTCGGTCCTTTCCCCCAGTCTGTCTCTTGGTTTCACTGATCCTTGCTTCGGCACATGTCAAAAACAAAGGGAAGAATAACGACCAATAAAATACGGCTGGGTAAGGATAATAGAACGTGATGTTATTTTAACTGATGATCTGGACTCAATTCATGAGGGATGTTAGGAGCCCTTGAGGGGCCCAGCGGATTTAACTTGCCCCCACAATCCTGGGCCCCTCCCGCGGATTGGGGACTGATTGGTCATCAGATGGCAGGACAGGCGCTAAAGTGTAGACCGCGGAACCTCCGCACCTTCAGGTGGACTGACCCAGCAGCTCCTCTCAATCTCAACTCGGACAGCGAGAAGATAATAACTGGTCCTCTGGTTGTTGTCCGAGGGTTTAGAGGTTAAGGAGATGTGATTGACAAGCATGGTTATCCAATCGAAACTGAGGACAGTGCATGACCGACCAATCGGAGGGCGTAAAGGAGACCGACGTGCTCACCGCCCACCACGCTCTGCGTTGCCTGGAGCCACAGCAAAACCGTAAGCTGACGAGAAGGAAGCTAAGTACTGAAAGAGCGACTTTGATTGGTCCATCATAAATCTCCTAAATAAAACCCCACTTGTGATTCGTCCAAAGTAGACCAAAGCCCCGGTGAGCAGGATGGAGGGTGAGGTGTGAGTCCGGTTAAGGAACCCGAGAGCCAGGTGAGGACCACCGGAGGCTCGGCCGCGGAGGCCGGGAAGGCGAGGGCGGGAGGCGCGCGGGCCCCCGCAAGCCACCCTTACGGCCGGCCTGGGATTGCTGCTGTGCGGCTGGGAGCTGCTGTGTGGTACGGCCAGCCTACGGAATCGTTAGCCGGCCCAGGAAACAGGGCAGCATCAGGGACAACGGAGCACCCTCTCGTTATCATCAGGTGTCATCTTGGTGGTCTTTAGGCGTCCCGGCAGGTGATTGTCCCCAGACTTGCTTGTGGTTTGACCAACAAAGATGGAGGCATTAGCCTAATGGTTTAAAGCCCAAACGAGGCAGAAGTTTTTAAAGTAGAAAGAAAAGTGTGAGCTCTCAGGACTTCATTTTGTTTTCTTTTCTTTTGTTTTGATTTTTGAGGTGAGTCTTGTGTATCCCGGGCTGGCCGCAAACTTACGATGCTCCTTCCCCAGCCTTTTGAATGCTGGGATGAGAGGTGTGCATCACTACATCTGGCTGTTCTCACTGCTTTTGAAGGTTTGGAATAAGCAATCAAGAAAAAGGCTCAGGCGGTGGTGGCTCACGTCTTTAATCCCAGCACTTGGGGGCCGAGGCAAGCGGATCTATGTAAGTTCGATGCCAGCCCGGTCTACAGAGTGAGTTCCAGGACAGCCAGGACTGTTAAACAGAGAAACCCTGTCTCGAAAAAACAAACAACAACAAAAACAAAAAACAAAAAAAGAAAAAGAAAGAAAAGAAAAAAAGGAGCCGGTTGTAATGGCACACACCTTTAGTCTCAGCATTCTGGAGGCCGGGTGAGGTGGGGTTGGGGAGCAGGCGCGTCTCTGTGAGTTCGAGGCCAGTCAGGTAGGTCTACAGATTGAGTTCCAATACAGCAAGGGCTGTTACACAAAGAAAACTTATCTCAAAAAAACAACAGCGAAGACAAAACAAACAAAAAACAAGGAGAATCTCAAAGGATTTCTCTGGAAAGGCAATCCTGTTCAATAACCTATCATTTTCTATTGCTTTCAAGGACTTGGTTCTGAACATTGGGGTGTGGGCAAGGTGTGGTCCACCAGCAGCCTCAAACCACAGTATTGTCCCTGCAATCTCCATCTGCCCCGGACAGGAAGTTGTTCTGTGACAGATCTCAGTTTTCTCCCTTAAGATCCTCAACTTGGTGGTGAGCACTGTAGTTTGTGTCCAGTGTGCCCTGACTGCAGGACTTTCAGTTTCCCCTGGCAACTGTTGAAAGGACACGTAGAACCAACCTTGGATGAAGGATGAATGAAGAACACACACTTACATGCAGAGAAACTTAACAAGAACCTCACGGCTTCCATCACAGGGAGAAAACCAACAACAGAACACCTGGCCATGTCTTGCTCTTGTCAGCTGTAGACAAGGTGTTTAAATGTACACAGATTGTTTTTTCTACTCTAGGTCACCCGATTCAAATGAAGTTACTCTTAAAATTGTGTTGGTTAAGCCATGAGCTCTCAAAGACTGTTTGAATAGTATTCTGAATCTTAAGTAAATAAACACTTTTTGTTTTAATCAAATCTCACTAACAAATAATTTGGCCATTCCAGAGGTTTGCAGATGTAGCCTAGAAGTCACAGCCTCACCTACCGTGCACGAGGCCCTGATTTCTGTCCCCAGCACCTCATGAACAGGGAGTGGTCCATACCCCTGTAAATCTTAGCCCTGGGGAGATGATGCAGGAGAATCAGAAGGGCATTGGGGAGATGATGCAGGAGAATCAGAAGGACACTGGGACTTTAGCGTTGACTCAGCTGCCAAGAGCACTTGCTGCTCTTCCAGAGATTGGAGTCCAATTCCCAGACTTTAAAAAAAGCATTTTATAATCCAGTTCAGGGAATCTGTTGTTCTCTTTAGCCTCCATAGGCACCTGCATAAACATCACACATGTATATACACACATGCATGATGAGATCCTGGGTTCACACCTGTACACATCTCTCTCTCTCTCTCTCTCTCTCTCTCTCTCTCTCTCTCTCTCTCTCTCTCTCTCTCTCTCTCTCTCTTTCTCTCTCTTATCCACACAAATAAAAAAGTCTAAAAGAGAATATATAGTTCAGTTATGAAATAATGACTGTCATTTTAGAAGTCGTAACATTGGTGTAACTTGATGTCACTAAGCTTGCCAGCGTTTGTGAGGATAGAAGATCAGTGTCTCTGATGTTACCAGCTCCAACTGTCATTTTCCCTGCCTTCTACGTGATGAGATTTGTTCACGTCTTCCGGGTTGTTGTATGGTGTCCAGAACAGTGCAGCTAATTCTAGGTGGGCATTTCCTTCAAGGCTGTCTCATCAGCTCAGTCAGTCATGCTGGTCACTTAGGATATTAACTTGACCCCTTTCCCACAGCTAAGACAAGTGCTCTTTTTGTTTGTTTTGGTTTTGGTTTTGTTTTTTCCCTGAGACAGGGTTTCTCTGTGTAGCCCTGACTGTCCTGGCACTCTGTAGACCAGGCTGGCCTCAAACTCACAGAGATCTGCCTGTCTCTGCCTCCTGAGTGCTGGGAGATTAAAGGTTTGTCCCACCCCTGCCAGGTAAAACGAGTGTCCTTATCTGGAAATACACACCCTGATATGGGGGAGGGAAATTGGTTCTAAGAGCTCTGCCATTGGCTAACTCTCTAGCCCTTAGGTTTTTGTTTGTTTGTTTTGTCTTTGTTTTTTGGTGACTTTATTTTCAGTCCTATCAAGTTGCCCAGGTGGACCTTGAACTGGAAATTCTTCTGCCTCAACTACTCAGGTAGCTGGGATTATAGGCCTAAAGCCACTAGATGAAGCTATCAGTACCTTTTAAAATTTAAGAAGTCTCTTTACAGTTGAAGAGATGGCTCAGTGGTTAAGAGCACTGGCTGCTCTTCTAGAGGACCTGGGTTCTATTCCCAGCACCTACATGGCAGCTCACAATGTCTGTAATGCCAGTTCCAGGGGATCCAACATCTTCACACAGACATATTAAGGCAAAACACCAAGGAAAAAGAAGTCCTCCAAATGTTTAAAAAAGTAGGGGCTGTTGAAATCTCTGGTTTGGATAATATAATAAAATAGTTGTTCTTACCAACCAGATTAGTAGATATTAGCATTCTGGCATTCTGCTCATGGTTTTTATTTTAAAGAAAGGAACATCGCAAACCGTTAAAATCCCTGCTGTTCCCTTTGCTGGCCCCATTCTGTTTCCCTCCTGCCTCCCAGAGACACCAGAATTGCTGTATATAATTTGTACTCATGTTTTTTGTTGTTGTTGTTGTTTTAACATGTGTGTTCGGGGTTGGTACGCTTGCATGTATGCACATGTTGAAGCTGGAGAATAACCTCAGGTGTTATCCTCAAGAACTCTGTCATTTGAGACAGTGTCTCTTATTGACCTGGAGTATAGCTAGGCTAGACAGGCTGGCCAGCGACTCCAGGAAGCCCCCTGTCTCTGCCTTTCCAGCATTGGAATTATATGCATTTTTTTCCCATGGGTTCAGTGATGTAACTCAACTCCTCCCACTTTCAGGGCAAGCACTTTACTCCCCAGCCCCGTACCCACACCACTGTTATACTTTGAATATTTATATGTGCCTCTGCCTCCCGACTGCTGGGATTAAAGGAGTGTGGCACCTCGCCCAGCTGAAGACAATTTTTTTTTAAAGTTTAAAATATAAACTGTATGCTTTGGATTTCAGTTTACAGCTTACGTTTATTTATTTGCTTCTCCATATCTACGTCACTTTCTGACCTCTGTGCTCGTGCCTTGAACACTTCCGCGATGACTTTCTGCTCCTCCATAAGGAGGCACACTTGGTCTTGTCATGGACATGCTTAGCACACGTAGGACCACTGTAGGCCCTGCTGATGTGTGCCTTTGTTTTAGATAACCTCATATGGACTTGAGGTCTTACAGCAGGAACCCCCCCCACACCACATTCAGATTTAGTGCTTTCCCAACCTGTTGGTATGAAGATGAACCATCCTGTTGCCAGGGGTTCAAAACAGCCTAGTTTTGTTAAAGGCTCTTTTGTAGGAAAGCCCATGACGGTATGTCAAAAAATGTTGGACCATTCTGAACTCCGTCCCCGGGAGAGAAAAAAGAAAGAACAGCTATTTATTTATTTATTTATTTATTTATTTATTTATTTATAGATTTGTACGTGTACCATTTGTGACTGTTTTAGATAAGGCCTCGCTGGCTTTGAGCTAGAATCCTTCTGCCTCAGTTTCCTCAAGTGCTGCTGTTATAGACACAGGCCACTGTTCCTGGGTCCCCAAGTGCTGCTGTTACAGACACAGGCCACTGTTCCTGGGTCCCCAAGTGCTGCTGTTACAGACAGGTGCCACTGTTCCTGGGTTGCTGTTTTCTTTTGTCACTCAGCACTGCTGTTGAGATATATTCATGTCAATGTATAGAGATCAAATCCATTCATTTGAAGTGTTCATTGTGAGGATATAATAAGTCCATTTGACAGGTGCGTAGCTTTTTCCCTCCTATTTTGCTATTGAAATGACAATGAATGTCCTCGTGTGTATCTCCTTATATTATATGACAGTGTCTAGAATTTTGTTTGAACTTTTCAAGGGAGGTGCATGTCCCTTAGGGACATGTGAGCATTTGTGAGCCATATTTAGTTATCATTGTAGTTAGAATATACCAGAGAGCTGAGAGAGTGCAACGTTGGGACAGCCCTCAAATGAAGAATTGCCCTGCATCTCGTGCAACTTTCCAGTGTTCTCATTGAATAATTATCTGGGCCTAGAACCTAACTCCGTGTGTGTGTGTGTGTGTGTGTGTGTGTGTGTGTGTGTGTTAACATAATGTAATTTTTGGCACAGTTTAATGAAGTGTAATTTCCAGGAATGTAATAAATCAAGGGAAAATTATACTGATCTGTGGTTTGGAGCTCTAACAAGACTTGCTCCTCAGTCTAGAAAAATCTTGTAACTGAAGGGCAGCACAGCTCGTGGTATTTGAGTTGCCAGCACAACACACCTGCATAGTGTGCACGTGGCGCTTCCCCACTCATGGTGATTCTAAGTTTAGGTGCAAGCATCTGGCTACTGTACTTCATTATGTATTCTAGTGTAGTCAGTCTGAACATTCATATATTTAAACATATGCTGTTCCATTATGAATAGCTTCCACTAAAAATCGACTTCTGTACATGATACAGAGTAGAGGTCGAGCTTTATTGTTTTCTGGTTAGATAATCGTTCATGTTGCCACCACTGTGAAACCCTTTACACACTGGGCCATGAAGCTGTCTTCTTCCTCGGGAGTACAGAATTCCCACGAATGCACAGATCTGCATCTGAGCTTTCAGTTTCGTGCTTGTGGTCCATGTGTCTTTGTCCCACTGTTTTAATTACCTTGGTTTCATAATGTGTCTGCGGCAGTTGGTGACAAGAAAGGCATGTTGCCATTCCTAGTTCTCAAGTGCTGTGGGCTATTCTTGGCTCTTTATTCTCCTGTGTGAATTTGGGATTCATTTTCCAGTTCCTTAAAAAAAACATATTTTTGGATTTTGGTTAGAATTGCACTGAATTTTTACATTAGGAAAATTTAAAAGCAGGAGTTACTTCTCTACACAACCTGCTTTACCCCACTGTCCAGGTACTTTTAAAAGACCTTTTCATGAAGCTGCATAATTTTAGCTATAAAAATCTTACAAATATCTGTTGCTTTCATCATATTTATACATGTATGCATGTGCATACATATTTTTATCATGCAAGTCTGAACTCCATTCAAATGTTAAGAAAATAGTGAAGTCAACATCTACTCACCTATCACCCAGCTTCAGGAGCTGTCTCATGACCAGTGTGTTTCATACCAGCCCCCTATCCCCACCCCACCCCCTAAATATCATGGAATGTCCTGCCCAGTGTTCTGCTGTCTGGAGTGTGTTGTGTGTGTGTCTGTGTAGATTCGTGTGTCATAAAGAATCTGTACCCCCCTTTTTTTATTTTAAAGGGAATCTACACCTTTTAGAAAGTATATTTCACTTAACTAGTGAGTCATTTCACAAAAGGGTTTGTAGTTAAATGCAACACAATAGAAAATGGCACAAACCCCAAGTATCTATAGCTAGATACTGATTACCAAAGTTACAAAGCCAGGTAACCAACGCCCAGATCAACCAATTTTATCATCAGTCACTCAAGGTACCCCGGAGCAATTGGACCTGTTTTCGAACATCATATAATTGGAGTCTACAGTGAAGTTTTTACTCTGTCCTTCACTTAATGCTTGTGAAACTCACCTATATTGTTGGGTGTAATGGTAATATATTCACCTGTATTGCTTTATACTGTCATTTGTATGATTGATTGCGTGCATAACGCTCTACATTTTTATGGACTGTCTGCCGTTGACCTTTTGGCTATCTGGTAGATATACACAGAGATACTTCATTTGCTTTTTATTTGCATTTTTCTGGTGACTAATGAGGTAAGGACCTTTACCTATATTGGCCATTCAGCTACCCTCTGTATGATGTTTATTCTCATTTTTTCTCTGATCTATCTCTGAAACAACAGTAAACTCCATTCATTTGGGTTTGCCAGTTACTGCGGTGCCTCTGTCTCTTTTGACTCCACACTTTGAGGTTTTGTTGTTAGGTCCATATTTCCTTCAGGTTACATTTTTTGGTTAAATTATTGTTTTCAGAACTGTATTTTCTTGTTACTAATACGGCTTCACTGGCTTACATTTTATTTTTGCTTTCCCCATTTATGCAGACCACACACGATGACATTTCCTGTCCTAACCGTTCGAAGCATGCAGTTGGGTAGTGCTCAGTGTTTACATTACTGTGAAGCAGATCTCCAGAGCCTTCATCCTGAAGACTAGAACTCTGTTTATTGCCATTGTCCCCAGTTCCTCCTTTCCCTGTATTTGCTTTGCTAGTGTGTGCCTCGTATATCTTTTTCACATTCGGCTTTTCATCTTGTCACTTGTGTTTTCTGTCACTTTTCTAAAGAGCTGCTTTTATTGTTTTACTTATTTATTTTTTAAATATGGAACGTTTCGTGAATTTGCGTGTCATCCTTGTGCAGGGGCCATGCTAATCTTCTCTGTATCGTTCCAGTTTTACTATGTGTGCTGCCGAAGCAAGCGCTGCTTTCATTTTTTATAATCCAGGATAAGAATCTTTCAACAGTCAAGTCTGAGGTGCTTACATTTACTATGAGTCCATGATTACTGCTGCATAATAAATGTAAGATAAAAATTTTATATTCCGTGTGGTACAGAGGGTTGCACCTAGGGCCTCATTTGTGATAGGCATGTGCTCTACCATTGATCTGTGTCTCCCAGACTATTTCATATTCATGTCTTCTTTGAAAGTTTTGTGTGCCGGTTGGGTGTGAGTTTATGCGGGTGTGTGCATGTGTGTGTGCATGTGTGTTTGCAAGTGGTAGAAGCCAGAGGTCCATACCAGGTGTCTTCTTCGATTGCTTCTCCACCTTGCTTTTCAGTGGATTTCCCACTGAACCTGGAGTCCGCCAGTTGGCTAGACTGGCTAGCCCTTGAGCTCCAGGGCCTTCCTTCCCACGCTCCCCAGTGCTGGATTGCAGATGGACACCACTGCCTTTGCATGAGTACTGGAGACTGGAACTCAGGGCCTCATGCTGTGCCGCAGACCCTTTGCCAACTTAACCACCTCCCCAGTGCCCCCACATTTACTCTTGAAGAAGCCTTGTATGCCTGTTGAGCGGTGTCCCCAACAGTGACTTTCGTTAGTCTGTTGGGGATCTTGTAGGTTTCTCATTTTAATTGCAGTTTCTGTAGTTAATTGTAGTTATTTATTTAGTTATTGTATTTATTGTAGCTATTCTGTAGTTTATTGTAGATGGATTTTTCACTGGGTGACCAGCTCACAAAAAAACGACACAGAGACTCATGTTAATCATGAAAACTCGGCCTTAGTTTAGGCTTGTTTCTAACCAGCTCTTATAACTTAAATGAACCCATTTCTATTAATTTGCTTTCTGTCCTATGGCTTTATGACCTCATCTCTGTACCACCCATCCTGCTTGCTCTACATCTCCCAGCATCTCCACCTTCTTCCCAGCATCCTCGCTGTCTAGAAATCCTGCCTGGCTATTGGCCATTCTACTTTTTTATTAAACCAATCAGAGTGATACATCTTCACAGTGTACAAAAGGATGATTCCACAATAGCTTATCAGCTTGTTGTCATTAATCTTTCTACTAGGAATCCCATACAGTCTGCTAGTGGGACCCTAGCTCTGTGCTTGCAGGTAATACAGGGTTAGGATTCAGATTTCACTTTGTTTGGCTTTTTTTCTTCTTCTTTTTTTGTCATAGCCTGAGTCACTTGGCCTGCTCTCTTCAACTAAGTTCTTAGTAGATTTTTCAGAATCTATTCAAATACTGCTTGACCCTTTGAGGGTCCAGTATTATACACTGTTCTTTCCTTGGTTCTAGTTCTATGCACCATGGGCTGAGGTCTCAGTCAGGGCCACTGTGGACTGTGAGCCCAGCTCCTGCTTACCCATCAGGCTTTGGGTGTATACTTTAGAATGTTACCATTTTACATATTAAGGTTTTAAAAACGCCATTTCGCTAATCACCCACTGTTCTGTGAGACAATAAGCTGATAAGCTATTGTGGAATCATCCTTTTGCACACTATGAAGATGTGTCATTCTGGTTTAATAAAAAAGTAGAATGGCCAATAGCCAGGCAGGATTTCTAGACAGCGAGGATGCTGGGAAGAAGGTGGAGATGCTGGGAGATGTAGAGCAAGCAGGATGGGCGGTACAGAGATGAGGTCATAAAGCCATAGGACAGAAAGCAAATTAATAGAAATGGGTTCATTTAAGTTATAAGAGCTAGTTAGAAACAAGCCTAAACTAAGGTCGAGTTTTCATGATTAACATGAGTCTCTGTGTCATTTTTTTGTGAGCTGGTCACCCAGTGAAAAATCCATCTACAATAAACTACAGAATAGCTACAATAAATACAATAACTAAATAAATAACTACAATTAACTACAGAAACTGCAATTAAAATAAGAAACCTACAAGATACCTTTTATAGCTCAGATGTAATAGTATGTTTCTGATTGCCATGACTAAACACGCCAGGTCTAGCAAAGCAATTAGCGTATTGTAAGTGCCCCAAAGGGTGACATCTTCTTTTAGGGACTGGAAGGGTTCTTTCTTCTGTGAGTAAATACTTGACAACAGAGTGGAAATTTCTACGTTGTGTTTGACTGCTAAGTCCAACTTCATGACTCAGCTTTAACTGAAGTTTCAACTTCTGTGTGGGCTCTGCAGCCTTCTGAGAGCCCTTGGTTAGGATTTGTGGACAGAGAGAGCTCAGATTTCTAATGTGAGCTCTGGTAGGAGTCAAAGTAGAGCCGAAGAGACCAGATTTGAACTGACAACAAGGAGAGCAGAAAGCAACCTCACCCCAGCCCCTAGATCCTCCACCCCTATTCCTACACAAAGAAAGCTTGGGTTCTGCACTCCTGGTTTTCATTAAGGGATTCTGGGGCTGGACATTCCTGAAAATTAAAAACCCATCATGAGTGAGCTTCCAGATGTGCTGGTCATCGGCTGCCTCATGTTGAGTTCAGGCTCTCTATGTTGTCTGAATACTAGGCACACTCTATGGTGGGGATGAGGGGGTCCACCCAGAGGCTAATGCTGCTCTCTATCCCCTAGGATGGCTGGCATGGTGCTGGGAGTGGGTGCTGGCGTGTTCCTCCTCGCCCTGATCTGGGTCTTGGTGCTGCTGCTGTGTGTGCTGTTGTCCAGAGCCTCTGGGATAGCTAGGTAAGGCATTCTTTCCAGCCTGGAGTCCTAGGTAAAAGCAATTAGAGGCAAAAAATCGCTGACGCTCATTAAACATTTAGAATTCAGAAGATCATTTTTGTAATTACTGGCAGTTTGAATGAGTTGCATTTTAACCTCTTTTCATAAGCACTAACTGTGTTATTTATGCTCAGGCAGAGGCGGGAGGAGAGTGGAAGTGTGTTTCAGTTCTCACTGGGGAGGGGATGGGGGAGACCAGAGATGACAAGAAAATCTGCTTTGGCTGCTATTGAGTTCCTTGGGAGTTGTAGGCGGAAGTTTTATCTAATTGTTGAGATTTATGATACATGCTTGGTCCAGTCCCTAAGGCTCTAGCCTGGGCCCGTGGACACCAACGTTACAGTGGGTTGGCCTGGCTCTCTGTATCAGGCTATGACCTAGCTCTGGAGACGCTTGAGATACATTCTCTGGGAGGGTCATGTCAGTAACAAACAGAGAGCTACAGTATTTACTGAAATGTTCTGGTCTGAAGATAACAGAAGTGTGTGGTGGATGGAGGAGGGGTGTGTATGTGTGTGTGTGTGTGTGTGTGTGTGTGTGCAGAAAACTATAAATTCCCATTGTTAGGAGTTTAGAATTACCAGAAATAAACAGGAATGTGCCCAGGTGGTACCTGTCTAGAGAGCAAGGCTTTGGGTGGCGGACTTTGTGACCTTAAGGGACTGCGACGCAGATGCTGACCCCAGGGAGGAGCCAGCACGGGCCCAGCTGACCAGAAGTTGACTGTCATCAGCGCTTTTGATACTCAGGTCTCTTTGCCCCCAGGTTCTCCATCGTCTTTGTCTTCCTCGGTGCTCTGATCATTACTATAGTTCTGCTGCTTTTCCCTCGCGCCAGTGAACTCCCAGCCCCAGAGGTCGAGATGAAGGTAAAGCTGTTGGGTTTCATTTCGCCCCTTATGTCAGCTTCCTCTATCCTCCTGTGACCTGTTCAAACAACGACGACGGGGCTCCAAGGGCGTCGCAAGGCCCCGTCCCTTTACCCTGGGCCGTTCCCACCTGCAGCACCACAAGGCAGTGGCTCACTGGTGCGCTGTCATCTGCTGCTTGCATAGACTGGAATGACAGTGTGGAAAGCCACTGCTTACTGTGGAGACAGACAGAGAAGAGTTGGGAACCCGAAACTGGCAGAGGACTTAAGTGTGGTGTTCCCCGTTCCTGGTAGCCTTGGTTCAGAATCGCAGATCCTGGGTCAGAATTGATGTAGTGCTCTCAGGGTGCTGAGTGACATGATTTTCTATCCTCTGAGGTTGACTTTTCCTACTCGTGGTGCCAAGAGAATCATTTCCACCAAGAACAGTGGGGGAAGCGGAAGGGGAAGTTGCAGGTGGGTCCTTATTGCTTCGACCACATCCTCCAGCCCCGACTTCTGCAAATCGGTTTGCGTCACCTCTCTCTGTCCCATTTCTGCAGACCTCACCTGTCCTGTGTCACCTGTCTCTCTGTCCCATTTCTGCAGACCTCACCTGTCCTGGTTCATTCCTGATTTGAGGGCTCCCGTTCTACCACGTGTAGCTGGTCTCAAACCCATAGGCTCTTGCTAAGGGTACCGACCTTTTCTGTCCCGTTACATCTTCTTGTGGCCTTCTGTTTCCTCTCTGTAACTATTTTAATTTTGAAATAGAAACAAGGTGATAACAACTAACATTTCTTAAAGGATTACTGTATGCCAACACCTAAGCTAAACACTTTGTGGTCTCATTGAAACCACAAAACAACCCCAAGAGATATGAAGGAGGTACTATTGTTTTTCTGGGTAAAAGGTTCCAGTGACCTGCCTGAGTTGACACTGTCCATGAAGAAGCAGAATAAGGATTTAAGCTGAGCTCTGTCCTCAAAATCTTCAAACTTGTTGGAACTCAACAGAATATCAGAGGCCATTCTCCAGATCTGACAGGTTGTCAATTTGCTACATCCACAGGATTACATAATTTTTGACATAAAATGAACACATACTTCTATCTCTACCCAGGACTAATGATGGAAGAAAGTTAGTTGGAAACTCTAAGGGAAATTGTGCTTACCACACAGATCCCAGGGGTTATTCCCTTGGGTGTCAGGCTCTCTCTACATCTGGCCCACCCCAGTGTCTTTGTTTTTAGGAGAAAAGAGTGATGTGTGCTGCAATTGCTGCAAATGTGACCGCTGGAAACTGCACGGAGCGGGCACCGCTTCTAAATCAATCCCTCTATTCTGTCATAGGAGTTTCAGACTCAGGAGACAACAGGGATTGAGAAAAATATGTTTGTCAGCATGGCCAGCAGAATCGGAGTTCTCACTTTCAGGTTCTGAGCCCTGGCCCCTGCAGCAGCCTGGCTCAATACTGTATCAATAATACATGGCCTGGGCCTTCTGCACCCAAGGCCTGCTAATTGGCTAATTAAAAAGTGAAACAGTCGAGCGAGCAAACATGTAGCCCACAAGAGACTTGTTCAGTACCAGAGCCAAGGTCAAAGTTATGTTAAAGCCGTTTTATCAAACTGACCTTGATTGTAAGTTGACTGGTGGGGTAGTCTCTGGAGCAGAGGAGGTGGCTGCAGCCTTCTTCCTGGTGTCTTAGGATCTCTTGTACCGCTGCTTAGGTGGTACAAGAACTTTCTGCATCAACACTGTATTAGCTTTCTGTTGCCGCTATAACAAATTCCTGCCAACGAAATGGCTCCTGCCATAAATTTATCATCTACAGTTGTGTGGGTTACAAGTCCATCATCAGTCTCCCTGAGTTAAAATCAAGGGTGGGCGGGCCCATGCATCTTTCCAATGGTTCTGCAGGAATGCCCATTTCCTGACCTCTTCCAGCTGTAGAGGCTGATCCCAGTGCCTGGCCCACGGCCTCCGTCTATGGCCCTCTTCAGAGTCATCAATGTGTCACCTCTCTGACTGTGTCCATCTCGTATTTCTTGTCCCAAACCTGTCTTCTGTCTCTTCTTTCATTTTATTTTGTTTCTTGAGACAAGGTCTCACTATGTAGCCTTGGCTGGTCTGAAGCTCACTGGAGGTCGCCTACCTCTACCTCCAGAGTGTCTTTAGTTTTCAAGGACTCTGTTTACTTTGGGCCTGCCTGGATTGGATAATCCAAGCCAATCTCCCTATTTTAAGGTCACAACCTTAACTCCACTGTCATGCAATCAGTGTGCTTCTAGGGATTAGGATCTCTGGGCCATTGCTTAGGCTGTGACAGTTACTGTCTGCTATTTGGGAACCTCGCCTGGAAATGAGTTCGCATGGCTTCTATGAAGTTAGGCACTCATTTGGATTATGAGGCCTGCTGTCCCCAGCCATTTAAGTACCACTGCTTAACTGGGTAGAAGACAGCTCTGTTCTCTAGAAATGGATAGCAGACATCTGGGTAGAGCCAGGATCAGATACAGGTTTTTGTCAACAAAGACCAGTAGAATTAGGGCTTCACATATGACTGGTTACCAAGCAACCAACTGTATGGCGGGGCAAGTTACATATCCTTTTAGTGTTTTAATATCTTAGATAAGTGGCCACTTTCCTCACTCCCTTGCAATTAGGGCTCAGAACTCTTCTGGTGAAAGCTTCAGTCACCTCATCTGAAAGCCACCCTTTCTTCTAAATTGAGCAATTTGTTTCCTGTACCTTATTATTATTAGCTGTTGCTCTTCTCCCCCCCTCCCCCACGCCATTCTTTAAAAACCTTGTGTCTTCTACTCAGGGAGTTGAAAGTTTTCTTACTCATGTGCAGAGAGAACCCAGGGCAGGATGCTACTGGAAGTTACCAAGAAAACCTGGGCACAGCCATCACATCTCAGGGGAACACGGACAGGGCGCTGGCATGGCGGTGATTTCCATTTTGATATTTTCTCTCTCCAGATTGTGGATGCCTTTTTCATCGGCCGCTATGCCCTGCTGGCTTTTCTCAGCGCCATCTTTCTTGGAGGCCTCTTCTTGGTTCTTACTCAACATGTGCTGGAACCAATCTATGCCAAACCACTGCGGTCCTGCTGAGCGCAGTAATGGAAACGGAATGTTTTGATGCCATGGATGAGCACAGAGGCTCTCTCTGGAGGCTCAATGACAGCCTTCGTGTTTTCAACCAGAGGAATGACCATTTGTCACCAAGACAAACCTCTTGAGCCCTGCCTTCCAAGAACTCAGTAGCAAAACAGACTCCATGGGTGTAGATGGTCACTGTCTGAAGATGGATACGACGGTCTGTTTAGTGCCCACGCTCTGGGATTCCTGTCTGTTTTGAATGGAAAGTAGTGACAGTGATCTGCTTGGGATAGATGTTCAGTCAAGCCGTCAGTAGTGCATTTAAGGAGATGGAGTTTTAGGCTCTGTCCACCAACAGAAGAACCTGGTCCCTTTTGATAACGTGTAAGTTATAAGTTCTTAGTTGAGTGATTGGAACCACTCAGACACGAAAGGTTGCTGTAATGTAACAGCTCAGAAGGTGTGTCAGGCAGCGGTTACTGACCACTCCTTATGTAATTCCACAGAGCTCTGTAAAGGCAGTGAGTGGCACTTGCCTGAGTTCCAATAAAACCATAAACAACTACCAAAGGGCTTTCTCTTCAAACTCCTGCCTACAGCTTTTGTATATTTACATTTTAAGTTTGCTTAGAGATTAGGAGAGGTATGGAAATGTTAGATGTCTTCCTGCCATATGTCTTGGGTCTTCTCCTGGGGTTTGTGGTAGCCTCTGGGTGCCTTATTTAAGTATTTAGTGTCGTGTAGGAGTCCTGTTTGGGCTTTGGCCCTTTCTTTTCCCTTTTTCTTTGGTAGTATTGGGAATTGAACCTAGGGTTTCACACATGATAGGCAAGCATTCTTGAAGAACAATTGCACTAAGTTACCCAGGCTAGCCTTGAAACTTTCTCTAAGTAGCCCAGACAGGCTTTGAACTTGCCATCCTGCCTTAGTTTCCCAAGTAGCTGGGATTTTAGGTTTGAACCATCAGACCTGACTCTTATCTAGCTTGTCAGCTGGTTAGTTGGTTGGTTGATTTGAGACAGGGTCTTACTAGGGACCCTGAGCTGACTTCAACTCTTGATCCTTTTACCTAGGCCATCTTGACTGCTAGGATACAGGTGTGCCCCAATGCCTGCCTCTCTATTTTCATCTTTAGGTTCTTTCTCCAAAGTTAATAAGGAATGTATATTCTCGGCATTATACCTGACATTTGTCTAACTTCCCAGATCAATAAAATTTGTCACTAAATGGGGTGGAGGCCCTGATCTGGTTTTGCTTTGGAAGTGCCGTCCTGCCTCTCCAGAGCAGATCCCTCTGGGACTTCTAGTGTGAGAGCCAGAAGCCACAGGAAAGGTGACTCAATGCCTGCTAGATGCCTGGGCTGTAGTGACTCCTTTGAGACTTTAGTTTTTTGACAGTCTATTTGTTATGATTGCTCTTACTTTTAAATAGAAAAATCCTGAGGTTTAAGGTGATGAACTCACTTAGGCTTAACACAGTAGCCAATTTGCAAACCTAGATGTGGCAGGATCCAGTCTCTCACGATAGAGGAAAATCCTCCTTTGTTGAGAACTTGAAAGCACTTCTGTTTCCTGTCTCTCCTTGATGCTGTTGGTGAGGTGTAAGAAAAGCCAGTCCCGCTGCCTCACGGGAGCTCAGCCTCAGGTGACCAGGGGCCAGAACCAGTGACTATTGGGAATGAAGACTGGTGAGGACGGGTACACTTGAACTGGTTCCTTGATCTTCTTTAACTTTGGGAAAGCTTCCAGATGAAGTTTTATTTAGAAACTCAAATGAAATGGATTCTTAGTGTGGCCTCGGGCCCATGGGGAAGAAATAGAAAACATTGCTCTGGGAATGGAGGGGAGAGGGGAACATGTGGAAGCTGTGAGGGACGTGGGCAGTCTGGCACTCAGGCCCCTTCACAGTACCCCCAAAGCCTCCAGGGTACTGTGAGCCTTCCTACAGGGTGCCTTAGCCGGCCCAACCAGAGCACCAACCCTGACAATCACAGACTGTCATGTGTCTCTCCTCCTGAGAAGCTTGTTGCCAAGGCAACATTGGAAGGGCCTATAGAGGTTCCTGGAAATGGATTTGTCTTTCTCATTCCTTTGTGAGTGTGTCCAACTAGAGGCCAAAGACACCAGAAGTGTTTGGGGGCTCTGATCCCTGATCTAGTTCATAAATGATTTAGGGTTACCGCTTCAGAGGGAGCAATGTTACAATAGCAGCAAAGACCCATTGAGGCTAAACTTCTAGTCAAGAGAGTGGAATCCCTGGCTTGAGTAGAAACCTAACATCCCAGCTGGGCTGGGTCAGTCCCCTGGCCAAGGGATCACTCCCAGGATAGCAGGTTCTCTTTAGCCACACTAACAAGATAGCTGGAATAGCGATCCTTTTAGTGAGATGCTGCACTTAGGTCCCCTCACCTCTAGGCACTAACTCAAAAAGAGGCAACGTTTTCTTTCTCTTCGTTCTCTCGGATGTCTGTCAGAACCCAAGTATGCTTTTCTTGAAGTTTTGGGCTTCCTCACTCCTCCTCTGAAGCCACTGCCTCCTGCCATGTGGTGCCAGCTGCCAGTCCTGGACAAATGCTCGTCTCACAAAGTTGTTTTTCTTCCGCATTTTCCTCCTCTAGGAAACAGCCTACCTAGCTGGGGGTTTTGTCTTTTGAATTCAGATAGAATTGTTCTTGAGCTTAAAAATAAAAACCTACAAAACTGGGGCTAGAAACATGGTTCCGTGGTTAAGAGCACTGGCTGTTCTTCTATAGGTCCTGAGTTCAATTCCCAGCAACCCCATGGTGACTCACAACCATCTGCAATGGGATCTGATTCCCTTTTCTGGTGTGCATGAAGATAGAGCACTCATATCCATAAAATACATGAATAAATAAATCTTTAAAAACCTCTACAAAACCAAACAATAAAAGGTGTCTATAAAGTCACTAGTTAATAGCTATGAGATTTCAGTTATCTGCATGGGAATTTGGTAAAGGTGAAAGAACCCTAAATTCCTTCCCAGATATCATTTCTGTACAATTTTTGTAAATTGATGTAAATGACAGGGTTATATATTAAGAACTGACTATATACAATGTAGACACAAACACGTGTGCACACATACACCATGTAAAGTATTTAAGCTCGGCTTGCCTTCCACAGTTCTTATCTGTAATAACTAGTAAGGTGAGATGAAATGATTACTTCTTACATAGTCAAGATAAATCATGTCCAACCTTTAAAAAAATAACAAAAATCCAGAAGTGGAAGGCTGAGCAAAACAATGAATTTCAGAGATGTCAACATGGGGCATCCCTACAGTGATGCCTCCTTATGTTTAGAGCCTGCCTGGAGACAGGGCTTCAACACCCCTACTGGTGTATCTATCCTTATATTCCGGGCCTGCCTGGAGACAGGGTTAGCCCTCAGATGCCAGCCCAAATCATTGCAGTGTCCATTAGCCATTCTTTCTACAGGGCAGCTAGTGCTGTTTGTTCACTGTTCAGAAACACTGTCAAGTCCCTGCTGTTTGGAAAGTAAAAAGGAGAGGAAGTCTACGAGAGAACAAGTCATTCCGTAGCCTTCCAGGACAGTATCCCGATGAGCTAAAGTAGAAGGACCCTCCCAGCTCCATTACAACAGAATGCTTGTCTGGTCAGTGAAGCAATACTGTCTATTATTTTAGAACTGTCTCAAATCAGAAAAGCATGCTGAGTAATGTTTTGATAAGCAGCTTAAGTTTCTCACTGGTAAAAAGGAGGGAAAAGTAGATTCTTTTCTGATCCAGGGTTTCGGATAATGAATGTAAAAATGCACTAGAGGAATTGTGTCTGTGCTCAGGCACCGGGAGCACGGCGTTTCCTTCATCCATGGAACACATTCTGCTCCTCAACACTGATGAGTGCTGATGGAGTGAGGCGATGGGAGGATGGGATGGAGGAATCCATGTCATCATTCTAATACATTAATCAAGGGTCCGTTCTGCTCTTCGAGATCTAAGCTCTTCTATCAACTCAACTTCATTGCTGCTGAGGCTAGGAATGTCTATCTGAGTCTCGATGTGTAAAGAGATGTGCTGTTACTTCACAGATGGGAAGCAGGCAGAGAAGAGGACGGCATGGGAAGTTCACAGCTAGTAGTGGTGACTCCCAGACTTGATGCACTGGCACCAACTCCCCATGCGTTCCTTGCCCCTCATATATCAGTATAAAGATCAACTTTTGCTTTCAAATAACCCCTTGTTTAACGTTGGTTAGCTGTTTGCACTCACCCCTTCCCTAACTCATATCTATAAAGTTCTATTGAACTACTAACATTGATAGGAACAAATGACAAACATTTCAGTCCAGCCTTTGGCTTAACCAGACGTGAAAACCAGACACAAAATAATCTGGAAATGTGTTGATTATCCTAGATAGAATGTGATCATTTGGGACTGGAAAGGACATTTTATAGTTGATAGAATTGAACCTTTAATCTGTAGGTGCACCCCAACCCCAACTTGGAAACAAATGCATGCCATTCATGCAGACATGATAATTTTTGTTACAAGTAGTGGAGACACCAGGTATTTTTCAAAGTACACTGTAAGCATTTATGTTTTCGTGTTTCAGATCTACAAAGTAGGTCTTGTTAGTCCTCACTTCACACAACAGGCGCAGACTGGAGGGAGTCACTCAGCAAAGGGTAGGCAGGAGTCAAGATTAGACGTGAGGCCGTTCGGCTTGGTGTAAGCTCCTAAACACCGTTAGATTAGACCATGTGTCCATCACGTACTAACAGACAACACAGATCCACTTGAGAGAAACACCTAGAAGCAGCAGCTGAAATCCAAAGTCTGGAATTGGGAGGAGTGTGGGACAAAGTAATTAAAATATACTTAAAGATGTCCTGGATGGGCTCTGATTGGGATGGGCTCTGTGCCATTTGCTTAGGGACACTAAACCGGAAAGCATCCAGTAGAGGGAGCAGTGTTGCTCTAGAAGGATAGAAGCTGCTACGCGGCCCTGTCCCTTCCACCTCCTCCGCCCCCCCCCCCCCGCCCAGCCCCTCCTCATACATACTAGCTCAGCCTCCCAATGGATCTCTAAAGGAGAAACACCAAGAGTTATTGCCTTTTAATTACACATGCTATTGTAGCATCTATAAGGAAGAACATTTTAAGCTTAATTGAGACCAAATGTGAAGTTAAATTAAATGAATAACTAATTAACGTAATGTTCCTGCATTAGCCCCATGCGAGTGCAGAGGCCTGAGAGAAGACAGGTACTGGGCCTCTGGTGAGCAGACTGTGCCCAGAGCTGGTGTGTGTGTGTGTGTGTGTGTGTGTGTGGTGAACAGACTGTACCCAGAGCTGGTGTGTGTGTGCGTGTGTGTGTGCGCGTGTGCGTGCGTGCGTGCATGTGTGTGTGTGTGTGTGGAGGGGGTGCAGAGAACCTGGTCTGGCAAGTGAATGCAGAAGTGTACACCTGGGGAGGGGGTGTCCTCCAACCTTGTGGTTTTCCCCCTCCCTCTTTGTAGACCTGCAGCCTAAGCGCTGATTTCTGAGGCCCTGCTCTGGGCTCCCACAAATCTTCTCAAGTGTTTCCGTGCCTCTCTTGCCTGTCTGTGTTTGTAGATGTGCTGCTCCTCATGCCTCACACAGGAAGGCGTGACGAGATTCGTATGAGCTGCTTTGGTCTGCCGCTTCTCACGGCCTTGTCATACAAAGCCCAGGAACTCTTCCTTCAGGAGCTGTCACATGTGAAGCCACCAGGGTCACCCCTACTGGCCCTATCCTATCAGGTCCGGACTGATGGGTGGTGTAGCCGTCAAGTTAGGTCGCTACTTATCTCCATGTACTTTTTTGCTTGTATTGTTTCTATTTTCAGGTTCTGTTTTATTTGCTATGCAGATAAGGGCAGCCAGTGTGATCAGTTCTATCTCCCTTCACATCACTGCTACGACACAAGTAACGTTACTCCCGTTCTAGATGAGGAAACAGGAAGGACATGCTGTAATGAGGCAGGGAGGGAGAAGGCCTCCAGGAACACTGCTTGGACACTGACCTTCAAGGGATGCTAGGGAGGAGTCTGAGAGTCAGGAAATCTCAGGCTTCCTTCTCTGAAACAGAATGGCAACACCTGCCCACCCTAGACTCTACCACGGGATAGTATCACCATCTAGTGGTCTATAGAAGTAACACAGCTTCCCCTTAAGTTTGCCCCTTCCATACAATGTTAAAATTCTTTCCAGTCTGGAAAGATTTCGTGAACACTGAGCAAAATTCATGTGTCAGCCCCTGCTCCCTACCTGGTCCTGAATAGAAGAGGTTCCTGACTGGCTGCTTCCTGCAGACTCAAAGTGAGGACCAGGCATATGAGCTTTATAGTTTACTGCTGAAGCAATGTGTCCAGCGAACACACTGACCAACACAGCATCCTAGTAAATGCAATGACTGAATCTTGTATCCCTGGGGGTCTAGGCTTCTGCTGGATTACATGTGTTATCAGTGTCGTGAATATGCCTTCTGGGAATGCCAGCTGTCACAGCCCTAGAACACCAGTCTCTTTAGTCCTGTGACATCTCTTCATTGCCCCTCATGAGTCCCACAGCTGCTGCTATGCCAGGCCCCACCAAAGATAAGCACAGGCACAGTTGACAAAACAAATCTGTATTGGTGCTGATGGGCAGCTTGGAGGTCATGTGGAAATGCCAGGTGTCAGCCTGGCATGTCATGATCGAGGACTCAGAGTGGAAGGAGCATGTGCACAGAACACCAGGCAAGAGGGTGGCTGCAAGATGACTCCACGCAACTGCTACGTAGCAGCTACTTGGATGAATCAAGTGGTATACTCATTCTTGCTAAACTTGACGCCTATGCTCAGTGCTGACCATTTTCTTGTTCATTCCTACAGGAGAGCTGCCATGTGCTTAACACACACTGGCATTTTCAGTTGTGCCCAACACCCCTTAGTCTTCACAGCAGTGACCCCAGTGTCTTCACCCACTGAGGCATCTTTCCGGGGAGGCCAGGGAGGTACCGGATGGATGTGCTCAGGAGCAGAGTGAGCTCCCCCTACACGCAGTACTCAGGGAAGCTCCCTTGCTCCACTCTAGCCTTGGCTCTGCAGGAGCAGTGCTAGTGCTTCAAAGTGGCCGAGTTGCCAACAGGATCAGTGGAGGATAGACAAGAGGGCCCTACTTGGGGAAACACACAAAGACTAGTTCATGGACAAAAGGGACACAGTGAGGCCCAGCACCTTTGAAACAAGGTGACATGCCCGCATAGGTACAGACCAATTATAGAGGTTATAATTTAACATGGGAAGGAGCTAGGCACCTTTTCTAGGCCTTGGCTCTTGCTTGGAATCCAAACAAGCAAGAGTCTGAATATGCCTTCCCTTCTGCTTGCAGCTCCCAGAGCTCAGGCCTTGAGGTCTTCCATTTCCCATGCTTGGTGCTCGGCAGTCCCTTCCCATAGTCTTCTGTACCCTTAGAGGCAGGGCGGGTTTGGGCTGAACTGGTTGGATCAGGAGGCTTTGCCTCGCCTTATGATGGAAGTTTTCCACTCTCTTGCTCATGGGGAGCACCCAGCAGGGACCCTAATGCTGGTCTTCCAATCGAGGCCTCATATTTGTTTGTATCTGTAGGAACAGGAGAGATGAGAAGGAAGAGAAAGTAAGCCACAACTTAACAAGCTTCTGCCTTTCATGTGGACTGTCCGTAATGAAGGTTCCCCTTGTACTTTGCGGGCAGGCTCTAACAAGTCAGAATAATATGACACACAAAGTGTTTCTGCCACATGTGGCCACTTTACAAAGCATCAAACCAGGTAAGCCACCTTCTCAGAGCGCCTCAGACCAACCCTAGCAGGCTTCTGAGGGAAACATCCCCATTATGTTCAATGATGCAGGGACTGAGGCATTAGCCAAGGTCTTAGACGTGAGTATGCAGAGAAACCAAGGATGTCCAGGGACTTCAGGTTCTCAGCCTCAAGCACTCCCTGCTCCAGTAAATCACTGTCCATTTCTTAATGGGCCCTGCAGAAAGAGCCAGCCTGGGAGAGCTGCAGTGCCCACAAAGGCCACAAACCTGGGTTCAGTTTTAGGTTCTTCCAGGACTGGCCCCTCATTTCAAATGAGAATGCCTGCCTCTCAAAGTGACTGAGATGAGCTACCGTGCCCAATGCTGGCCTCCATTCTAACTAATTACATACTTTCCTCTTCTCTTTCTGCTTTTCTTCCTATTCCAGACTCCTTTCAAGCCTTGCCCAGAGAATCTAGGTGAAAGGAGACAAATCCCTGTCCAGTGCCCTGTTCCCCTCACCCAGGGCAGGATAGGCCCCGTGAATGCCTCTGCTTTAAGTACTGCTTCCTACTTCCAACCTTTCTCTTTGTATGGTGCCTTCTTAAGGCGGAAGTACTTCCCCAAACACTGTATAGTTTACCAGGACCCCAGGAGGTGATTCTTCACGTTTATCATCCAGCCCAGGTCCAGGCTTTGCCGGCTCCTTCTTAATAAGATACTTCTGCTAGAAGGAGAGCCAGAAAGGCCCCAGGGACAGTCGCCCAATCACCAGCACCCCAGCGTCTGGCCAGCCGCCAACTCAGTCACTGACCTATGCACCTTCCATACCGCCACCACTGACACCAGGCAGAAGCCACACCAGACTAGTCACTTTGATTGCAATTTGTTCCAGAGGCTTCGATTTCATAGTTGCCTTTTCCCCACACACCCCAGGCAGAGGGGGCAGGTGACTTCGATTGCTGATGTTTAGGAGGCACCTGCAGCTCAGCCTCAGCTCAGAGAAGAAAGAATTCTGTATCTCTGCCCCCTTTGCTCAACAGGTGTGTCCAAATCCCCCTGTAGCATCTCAGACCCCCTAAGAAACACGTCCCAAGCACCATGCTGACTAGCTGGAACCTCCAGGTATGGCTCCCAAGGAAACAGAGAAAGCTGGGGTGGGGGAAATCACATATAGGAGAGGAGAAGATTCACACGCGGCCCACATTCTGATGGCGTATTAGTCAGACTTGAAGAAAATACTCACAAACTCATGGGACTTGAGGAAAATACTATCGTGGGTGGGTTAGGGCCAGGTTAGAGCTATGGAGACACACGGGGACAACAGAGGAAAGGTTAGCAGGTCTGGGGTGGGATGGGGTCCAATAGGACATCAAGGGGCAGGAACTGCTTTGATGTTCTTGAGGCCCAGAATGGACCAGCACAGGTGGTCTACAGAATACAGAGCACTGGATAGAGTCATAGAAGCCAGGCTAGGAGCAGGGCTTGCACTGCCAGGAACTCACCCACTGTTTCTGCTCCGGGACATCTTCCAGGCCAGGATCTCTTTGTACACCAACCTGCAGAGGAGCTGTGGGGAGTTCAAGGCAGAGAGGGAAGGGAAGACACCGTCATCCTCCATGCTCAGCTGATCGTGGGACAGGTGGCTGAGAAAAGCAGCGCTCCCCACAGGAAGACACTCCCAGCAAAGGGCAGCGGCTGTTTGCTCACCGTCCCAGAGTCCTAATATCTCATCCCAGAGTTCCAGTCTGCAGACAGAAAGCATCCCCAGTAGCCGTCTATGTACCCCAGGAACTCTTACCAAGCAAGCCAGGATGTCGGCAGAGATGAGCATGTAGAAGACGTTGTTCCAGCCCGTGGGGGAAATCAGGCCAGCCAGTAGGGGCCCCAGGGCCGCACCTATACACAACAGTCTCATGAAAACAGGATACATACCTTCCCCGACCACTGTGGGCAGTGCACCGAGGGGTCCACCCAAGACAAGGCTGGGGTTCAGGTGCCAGGAGCCAAAACCAGTAACAAACCTATGGAGCCGGTGCCGTCAATGATGGCTGTGACCGTGGAGAGGGCCTTGGCGTTACCCTTCAGGCTCTCATGTGTGCCCTGGGGAGACAGAGTAGGGTGGGACAGCCCAAACTGAGCAAAAGCACGGCAAAGTAGCACTGGGAGAAAGCTAGCTTGAGGAGGGGGGTGATGGGGGCTTAGGGTGGAAAGGAAAGAGCCCATGGGGGTTCTGCAGGACAACAGATGGGAAAGGGAGAAAGGGAACTGAACTTGTAGACAGAGCCTTCGATCAAGCCCTCAGACCGGCCTGATACCCAGGAACGGTCCACTTACCAGGTCAGCAGAGACTGCTGTGGTGATCAGTGCATACGGGCCATTGACCAGGACCCCACAGATAATCAACATCACTGGGAAGACAGCAGGGATGGTATTCTTAGAGATGAGGGGTTGTGTCCAGAGCAAGCAACACTCCCTGGCCCTGGCCCCACACCCGCTTCCTGGAGCTTCCCAGGCAGAGTTTCTCCCGTGACTGGGATTCACACCACCTCCTCACCTATGGAGCTGGCTATTCCATTCTGGCCAATGTAGTTGTACAGGAACATCTAAAAGAGGGAGGAGATGGTTGAAGCCGGTTTCCTTTTGCTGGGCTAGACCAGAATCTGCAATTCCACACATCACTTGTTTTCCCTGCCTTATACGTCCAGACTTCTCAAGTCTTTGTCAACCATGGTAGTCTCTAATTTCCTTTTCTGTTTTAGATGAATGTCATGCAACACAGGCTGTCCTGAAACTCACTCTGTAGCTGAGGAAGACCTTGAACTCCTGACTCCCCTGCCTCACCTCCCAAGTGTTGGGACTGTAGGCATGTACCCCAAGGCATAGCTCTATAGTTTCCTCTCCTCTCAAGTCTTCTCTTGTTCCTGTCCTCAGTCCTTGGTTAAAACATGTGGCAGCTGGTGTCCCTCTTTTCACAGGTCCTGGTCCTCTGCTGACTCTCATTTCTCTTTTTGCCCGTGTCCAGGAATACACGTGCACACATGTACGAAGAGACAGCTATGTGTGCAAATGTACAGATGGACACACGGGTATGAGGCCCCAGACACCTGATCATAAGCATATGTACTCTGAGATTATACATACCATGGGAGCAGCCAAAATCAGCATGATGCAGCAAGTGGTGGCCCTGCCATTGGTGTAGTCACTGATGAGCCCTGCCATGATGCCACCTGGAACACATGCTCACTCACGCACTGTCCCTGACATAAACATGCTGTCTCTCATCTGCTGCCCAGTTCTGTCCCATCACCCCGCCCCATGCTGACCTAGTCTTAAGAAAGACCGTCTCCCTCTGCAACCCTCCCCTGCACCCATCACTCCAAGAAACCAAAGCACGAGGACCGTCTATCTTAAACCCCCCACCCCACCTCGCAGGAGCAGAAATGAGAATACGCCAGGAGCCTTTTTTCTCTGGAGCCACTGTCCAGATCATGGTCTGTTGTCCCTTCTTTCTGCAAGCAGGAAGACAGCCTGCTAGAACAAAAGGACAGGGCCTCACCTATGATGCCACCAACATCGAAGAGTGTGGATAGGTCCCCAGCCTCCTTGGCACTAAAGTGAGCTATGGAAAACACAAAGAAAACATGATCAGACACTCCCAGGGGCTTGGAGCAAAGCTCCTGAATGCCACAGCTGGAAGAGTCCCTGTGAGGCATTGGTCCAGCCCAAGCAAGAAGCTGATGGCCAAGCGACTGGACAGGGCCACAGGGTAAGTTTGCAGTAGCTTGGGATATAATCCTTTGGGCTCTGAGTCCTAAAATATACTCTTTTCCTGAGGGATGGCCTAGACCTTTCAGAGTAAGGTGTCTCCTACAACCCTGGTGTGCCTCTAGCTCTTTCTCCTGGAGTGTAAGATTCTGCCTGGGCTTTGTCCCAACAGCCATTTCTCTGACCCACTCATAACCTAGAAGAGAGCTCTACAAGGGCTCTTCCTAGCCAGGCAACCTTAGGTCTGTGCTAATGTCCGCAGCTACAACAGGAAGATGGGGACCCTGGGTTTAGACAAGGGGAACATCTAGAAGCTTGACTTGTAGCTCCACCCTCGAGGCTGATTCATACTCTGAAGTCAGCATCAAAGCCACAAGACAGAGGGTCACAGTGCCTACAAAACTGCCCTAGTACTCCTCCAGTATCAGAGAGGAGGGCCCCCAAGCAGAGCTATGGGGCAAGAGACAGCTCAAGATCTGTCAGTGACTAATCCCCATGGTTTCCTGGTCTCCCATTCAGAGTAAATGTGTGTGGGGCAGGAGAGCCATTGTTCCTTTTCAGAGTTTGGAAAGAGTGAGACAGCCCTGGGTCCTGGATAAGGGGTGGGGCTCTCAGAATCCTGGGGGTCAGGAAAGCAGAACATGCTGCTTTTTGATGTGTTACCCCATCAATGGCAAAGCAGAGACTCTGAGCAGTTGGAACTCAAACAGCCCTTCTAACCTCAACAGTGATTTCTCTCATCTTTACATCCTTGGATAGCGGCACTGAGAGTAGCCACTGCATTGGGACAACTCCCCAGTGCAGCCCAGAAGACCCCAGTACAAAGACATCACTGTCATGATGACCCTTGGAAGGAGAGCCTTAGAGGCCATGGAGTAGGAAAGCTCATACAGCCTCTTCCTTGAGTTGGTGTTCAAGGCAGACTTCAGCCCACTTTTGGTCAAGCAGCCCACACACAGGCTGGAGAAAGAGGATTGCAGGACAGAGCTTTGTGCTCCTAAGGCCCACCTTAGCTCCAGGGGGGCAGGAGATAGTGCATGGGCTCAGCATCCTACTTAATGAAGTAGCCAAGCAAATCTCCCAGCCTAAGAGAGGCCCAGCCTTTCTTGGATTGTGTACCGGAATCAAACCCAGGTTCGGTGTCCTCCCTGCACCAGCAGAGACCCTTTTCCTAAGCTCTTCTTCCCCTTGGACTCACCCACATTGAAGATGTACAAGGGCAGCCAGTAGAGGAAGGTGTAGCTGACCAACTTGGCAAATAGCAGACATAATGAGAACTCGATCACACCCTGGGCAGCACAAGAGAGGGCACAATGGAAAGGTGCTCAAGAGATGCCTGGTCCAGCGGAGGTCCCACAGATGGCATAGCAGTACCCCATGACCATCATCATGCCCAAACAAAGCAACCTCAAATATGCACCCCATCCTAAAGGCAGCAATGTAATGTGTCTGATGCTTCATGTTGTGTCAAGGCAGCCCTCCTATACGCTCTTCCCATGAAGCTATCTTACAGTCTGTACAGAAATCCTTGAAATCACCTGCTACCCACACACCCCATTGCCTAATATTTAATGGAAAACTCTAGAAAGATCCTCTTCCCTTCCTTCCACAAACATCTCACCGGAATTTTCAGTGCCCCCAGAAAACTGATGGCTGCAGGCTCAGAGCCCTGCTCCTTGGAGGAGCTGGCTACAATGTCCACGTTACTGTCTCTGCGGGAATAGGGACCATTCTCAGGATCCTCAGGATTGTCTGGTCCCTTCTCCTGGTCACTCTGAGAAGAGAAGATCCCTCCTTGAGGGCAGGGCCATGTACCAACCTTCTCTAATGGGAAGGATGGCCCAGGTGAGAGGTGGGGGTGCCCATCCTGGGGAAGGTATATGTTTCTGTCTTGGGCTGACAGGCCCATCAAAAGTTGTGGGGCAGTTAACTCAAGGACCTAACAGCCTGTACAGTCACTGGAGGGCCACAGCTCTCTCTTCCAACTTTTGGCCCTCCCATAGTCAGTTCTTTCGAAGAGGGCAGGGCTGGGATGGCATACTCACATGGTGCTGAGGAGGGGTACAGTCCACATCTTCTGGATCTGGGCAGGGGGAAGAGGAGACAAATACCTTTCTCAGAAGCTTGCCAATAGGTTAGCCCCTTATTTTACAGCGGGAGTAAGCTAGTGCAGAGCTAACCCTACATGTCCCATGGCCCCAGCATTAAGGGAGCAGGCTTCCTAAGCCAGCCTGCCTCTTAGGAACATGTCTGCTCTTGGGCTAGTAGCTATACAGCTGGCCCTGCCAACTCAGGGTTGTCTGAGAACAGGAGAATAATGGCAGCACTCTGAATGCAGGAGGCACAGCCTTTGGCAGAGGACCCACTACAGACAAAACATTTAGCTACACTGTCCCTCTTACACCTTCAGAAATCCTTGGGGGCAAGTACTACTGTCACTTTCCAGATGAAAAAAACAGTTTCAAGATCACAGAGCTAGTCACCCAGTACCCTGAACAGCAATGCTCACCAAATACCCAGCTGCTTCCTCCCATAAAAAAACCTCATAGGGCACGGGAGTGGGGAGGGCCCACTCACATTCAATGAGAAAGAGGAAAGTAACGACTCCCATGACAGCGGTGATAATGCCAGGCACGATAAACGACAGGCCCCACTGCTGGTTCACCCAGACTCCGGCGATCAGGGAGCCCAGAATGTTGCCCACAGAAGTGTGGGAATTCCAGATGCCCATGATGAATCCCCGCCTGGAGAGAAGGGAAGGAAGAAGAGAACCTGCCCAGCCGAGCTCAAAAGGCTGGCTGCCTCTGTCCTCCAGGACGTTCACACAGCTGAGAGTCTCAGAGACCCCAAAGACAGTGCCGAGAAAGCATCAGGCCGCTGTCAAGCAGGTGACAGCACTGCTTGGAGGTCCCTGCTTCCACCAGCCCCCTGGGCAGGCACAGATGGGAACTCTGACCACAGGGAAACCATGAACCTCCTTCTCTTTTGACCCCCATCAATATCACTCTAAAAAAGTAGTCTTCAGCGGGGGATGGGGGGAGCGATTCTGCCCCCTCGGGGCACATCTGGAAACATCTGGAGATTTTCAGTGGCCAAGACTTGAGTTTTGCTACTGGCACGTACTAGGGAGATGCCACGCGCACTGCAGAAACTGTGTGCGGGAAGCCCACATAGCCAAGAGCTAAACAGCTCAGACCACCGGTGCTGAAGGTGAGAAACTGAGGCAACCTCACACGAAAGCCAGTCCAAGAAAACAGTTGTGGGGCCCTTTACCGTCAATCAAAAGGTTCAATACAGCTGCTCTGGGGAGCACGTCTGCTCTATGGGCTGGATCCTCACAGTGAGAAAAACAGCGCTGCCCTTTAGTCCCAGAGCTGTTTCTTCTCAGTGGGTGAGGCAACAGTAAGAAGACACATCTTCTGATCTTTTCCCCTGAAAGTAATCCAGGCACCCCTCCCCCTTCCCAGCCCCACCCTCCCCACCCCCTCCCTCGTCACACTCACTTTCCCTTTCCAAACCAGTTGCCAACACAGGTCACCACGGACGGCCAGCCTGTGGTCTGAACAAGCCCGTTGCAGATCTGAGGGGAAGGAAGGGAAGGTGAGAGTGAGCTCAAGCACCCTGGGTACAGGAGGCTCAGTTGTCATGGCTGAGGAACCCTCCACACCCTACGCTGTAAAACCATGCCTTTCTCTCACTGGCGCGTCCACGCACCAAGACACGCACTGGCCTCTCCTAGCTCAAGGTCATGTGAGCTCAGACCAGACTTCTTGTGCATCTGAAGCAGCCCGAGGCACACTTTACTGAGCCTTTGTGAGACTTTGGGGGAACAGGGCCCTGAGCGGGGTGACAGAAGGAGCTTGGAACTGGAGCAAGGAGACCAAATCCCTGTCTGCTCTGACCTGGGGATGGCCGGGGACTTCAGGGGACCAATCTCTGAGGGGAACAAAGAGCCGAGTGCAAGTCAGGCTCATACCTGGATAAGCACAAAGTACCAGAGCATGTGGATATTCCAGAAGTACCCCAGGCCAAAGAGGGAGGTGAACAGGCCGCTGAGCACCATGCCAGCTGACAGGTAGTAACGGAGGGGCAGCCGCTCCCCAAAGATCCCACTGGAGAAAAAGACGATGAGCTGCAGGTCACTACTGGGTTCATTCTACCAGCGCCCTCTCGAGACACACTGCTGAAGCCACGGTGGCCATGGTAACCAGCGATGACCTGTGTCCCACTGCATCCTGAGACTGACCCCAGTCCTCTGCTTTATCGGACACTACCTTGGCAATCCTGCTGCCCATGTCCCTCCCTGCTGGCTGACCACTCCTAGTCACTTTTCCCCCCCAGCACATCCTCTACGTTTGTGTTCGGTTCCCATGTGTCCCTTCACGCATGTGGGTCATATTCAGATTGCCTTTTGGGTAGCATCACTTGGATGTCCCTAAAGCAATGGAAACCCGATACTCTAAATTCTAACTTCTCCCTCGCTCTTTCATCATAGAAGCCTCTGGAACACCAGTTGTCCCAAGTTCAGCAGCTTAGGCAGCTGTTACACTAAAACATAACCTCGCTATTCCCTGCTATGCACCTCAAGCCTACCTCAGCTTCTCCCTCACAAATAGCCAAACTCCTCCGGTGGTTCTCCCTTTCCACAGCCCAGAGCAGGCCCTCGGCTGATCCTCTAGCCCTGTCTCCGGCTGGCACATCCCTCACAGCCCCCCTTCCGGTAACCCTGAAGGTTCCGCCTGCACTCCCGGCTGGTCCCTACTTGGTGGTGTTCAAGCCTCTGGTCTGGGTGTCCTTCCCCCCAGCCATGCCCCGGGTGCTTCTCATCTCAGGGCTCATCTATACAGCCTGCCTTTCGTCTTCAATCCCAGCCTGTGCTACCTGGTTACCCAACACTTCAACAATTTTCAATTAGCTGCTAAGATAAGGGTCTTTCTACTAGGCTGAGAGCTCATTAAAGGCCACACCCTGCCTTGCCTGTCTATCTGTGATTCCTGGGAGCAAGCTCAGTGCTGGCTAGGTGAGACCCACACTGGTTACATAATTTAGACAGCGCTGGGTAGGCTCTTGTTTGGAATCTACACGTCCGGGGCTTAGAGGACCCTGGTCAGCAGCCACCAAGGCTCCTGTCCACCAGAAGCAGGTGGAGAAATGGTGACCACCGTGAAAAAAGGAGGCTAATGGCCTGGGTGGGGCCTTGGCCTCAGGCCCACACCCAGGCACTATCAGCTTCCTCGCCTTAGCCCGCAGCCCCAGGTCAGTCAGGAGAAGCAGTAGTTATGAACACCTACCCCACCCAATCCCCAGTGGGCACAGACTCTGCCTTTCTCTTACCTGATAAACATGCCAATGGCATAAGCCACTAGGAAGGCATTGTCCACAGCGCCCAGTAACTCTTTGTAGTCATCTTTGTCTGGAAGCAGTTGGGAAAGACACAAAGTTGGCTGGCTGGCTGCCCCCCCCAGACCCTTTCTCTCTCCAGATGGGGAGGGAGCGGGGGATGGAGACCAGTGATGCACCCTATTCTCACCAAATGGACTCCAGCTGCACCACGTGGTGTCATTGGGATCGTGGGTGTCATTATTGGGAATGACCAGCTCTGAGCAGTTCTGGTGCAGGCGGCTCTGGAAGGCAATGGCACACATGGGTCAAGGGTCACATCATCCCCTGGCACCCATTCAGCCCAGAGAGAATGCTTAGCCTGCTACTCAATCACAAGTACCATTGCTCCCCACCTGCCATGCTCCCTCCTGCCAGCACCTGCTCCAACAAGACTCTCATGAATGGAATCCACAGAGCCTAAAGCCTCTACCTTCTTAGCTCACCCAACCAAGCAGCAGTGCCGTCTGGAAGGTAAACTCAAAGGGACCGTGCAGGGAAACATTGCAGGCATGATGTGGGAAAGAGAGAAAGCCACCAGCAATGGGTATCTGCCAGGCAGAAGGAGCAGTCCCAATGACCAGGGTAGAGGAATTTGGAAGATGGCTGACTGTCTGGGGTCTAGAGTATCCAATTGCAGCACACGTCTGCCAGGCCCAACATGTCCTGCACTGTCCCTTAGCAACCAGTCTCACCTTAACGATGCTGATGGGTTTTCTGGACATGTGATAACAGGCATAAACGAGGAAGGTGAGCAGCAGGATGAAGCCACGGAACCTGGAGGAGAGAGGAGCGGCTCAGTCCGCAGAGGCCAGCGACGGCATCCCTGCACAGTCCGCAGAGGCCCAGCGACGGCATCACTAAGACCTCAGCACCAACGTTTTACCTCCGGGTTCTCTTCTAGACCCACGTTCCCAGGGCAAAGACCAGGAGTGTCTAGGAGCAAAGGATCCGACTGTCGGAAGCACCTTCCCTGCTCCAGCCACCTTCTTCCCAACCCTTAGCCCTTCTAGGGCCTCACCGAGGCAAGGCTGTCTCTGTCTGGATGTGTGGAACAGCTATGGCCACAGAGAGTTGGAATCACTTTCTAAATGTCAGAAATGATGGGCATGGAATGGAGTTAAAGGGGAGAGGGGTCTGTCTATAGAGTGAGGTTCATATCCCGATTGTGCTTAGAAGACAGCAGACTTATTTCAGACTATAGGAAGAGATGACTCAGCTGGGACAGCTGGTGACAAAACCTGAGTCCTCAGCCTCATGGTCCCTGGCTGGTCAATTCCACCGCACAGAAAGATGATTTCCTCTGTGGCTCACATACTCCGTGTGCCCTCCCCCACCCTTCCCTTATCTCATGTGCAGTCTAGTCAACAGCCTCAAACTTTCCACAGCACTGTACCCCTTCACCTCACCCAAGGGTCCAGGCAGGATCCTGCAGGGCCCCCCTGAGTCACTGTTTCCCCAGCAAGGCATCAGCTGAGCTGAATCCGCAACCAGGAACCAAGAGGCATATGGAAAATAGATCTCAGAATGGGGCTGAGGGTACAGCTCAGCAGAACACGGGATTAGTGTGCTGGAGGCCCCAAGTTCCAACCCACCAACAAACAAAGCAGACTGGAAGGGAAGTCAGACATTAGGAGAGGACTCTGCTCATAAAAGAGAAGGGTCTGGAGGAAGTGTGAGCAGGCCCTGGAGCCCTCATCTCCCTTGGCTCCATGAACCTAAAGCAGACACTGGATGCTCACCCTGCCCTATCTGATAATCTGGCCCCAAACTCTAAATTCACTTCCCAGAAGCATGTAATTAAGCAATGTAGGCCACCTCTTGTGAAACAAAAAGTGTTTCTGCAAAGCCTTAATTGAGTTGAGCTGCTGAACCCTGTCTCATGTCTCCCTGGACTTTAGTTTCCTACCTGGGCATCGGTTTCTATCCTCTCTATGACACTGTGGTTTTTCTTCTCAACATTGGATGGTAGTGCACACCTGTTGTCCCAGCACTCAGGAGACTGAGGCAGGAGTAATGGGAACCTGAGGCCAGCCTGGGCTACATAATGAGACCCAATCTCAAAGCACTTCCTTTGACTACTTGTTTCCAAGGCACTTGTGTCAATTACACAGGTCTTCTGGGGGACTTCAGGGAAGTCAAGGCTACCCCAGATGCCTGCCTGTTCCAGGACTGACATCAAAAAAACTTAATGACACCAAAGTTTTCCAGGTCCACCAATTGCCATATAGCTGATTGCCAGTTCGGGGATTTCTAGAATTCTCTGAGAAACTTTAGAGAGAAGACCCAGCTAACCCAGTCAAAGAGTAATAGATGGACAGGAACTGCAGCCCTATAGTTAACTGGGCTATTGCCTAATCCAGCGAAAAGCAGACAGCTTTGAGTGACACCTCCCACTCACTCACCAGGTAAGCCTTCTGCTTCTGGCTTCTTCAGTTGTACATGGATGGTAACATCAGTCCTACCCTCCCCAGGTCACTCTTATCCTAGTCCCTGGGTACCTGTGGTGGTATCAGCTTTAAGTGCCACAACAGCTCAGCTTCTGTGACCACTACCTTGGCTGACCACGTAGAGGTGCCAGGGTCCTTGCTAGGATGTGTGGCCACAGTTGCAATGTATCAGAATTCAAGTCCCACTGTATCCCCTGAGAGCCCAGCAGTGATGACTGGTCAATAACAGACCCTAGTGTTATCTGGGAAGTCAGGCTACACCTCAGCAGACACCCCCAGTGCCTTGAGAGATGGAACCAAAGAGGCACTAGAGGGACAACCCAGCTGTCCAAATCCTTCCCCTTCCACCTCAACTCCCAGCTTCCACACTACTTCCCCCCCCCCACACGCACACCAGGCACTTCCTAGGGAGGAAGGTTCAGCCCATCTTTCCCCGGCTTTCGCCCATCTGAGTTCCCAGGTGTTCATCCTTATCTGCTCCATGCCCCTGCCATCCAGAGTTCCATACCTCCCAACCATGGGTAGGAAAAACCGTTGCAGAGAACAGGCATACTCATGTCCAAACCTAAAATCCTGACATTCTTGGAAGAAAACAAGGCTGCTTTTGCATCCACACACATCTACCGTGTTGTAGGCACCGCGCTGGGAATGTTACACTTGCATGAGAAACGGGAAGGAAGATCCTGTCTTCTGGAGCTCACAGGTCAGTCGGGGGAAGCAAGTACAGAGAACTGGGGTGACTGTGCCATGAAAGCAGGGAGCCTCCAGTGGGATGGCAGTGGTGTCAGGAAAAGGAGACGGTTTCGAAGTCAAGCGGGAGATGGCTAAGTCAACCAAGGCCGGGCAGGGAGATGTGCCAGGGAACAAGCAACAGGGAAGGCACAGAGGCGTGAAATAACAGTTCCAGTATGGGAATGCTGCATGGCTCAGGAGATCTGGAAGGGGAGACCGAGCCAAGCACAGGAGGAAAAGCGGCTGGGCGAGGCAGGGCCTAGGCCAGGTAGGGCCCTGTGAGCCAAGAAGTTGAGTTTGGGCTCTCTCTCGAGGACTGGAAGACTTCACAAGGGCTGGGCTCTCCTGGGCAAGGGTGTTTCAGAGATGAGTCAGGTGAAATCAGGGAGAAGCCCCCTGTGGGCTTCCTCACTACAAGGTGGTGACAGTCCCTGTGCCTTCCCATCCTGTCCACCAATTCAGGGTGCATGACAGCTCCACAGGATGCCCTAGATTTCGAGGTCATGTCTACAGGGTCAAAAAGTAAGGACTTAGAATCAGGCAAAAGATAGTTTTATTCCCCAGATGTGTTAACTCCTCTGAGAAGTACTTTTTCCACCTTGTTCATGGAGCTATTACTGACAGATGCTTGTTACAGACCTTACAGCATTCCTGACACCCAGCTGACCCTTAAAAATGGCTGGTACCGTTTCAGATTAGCACATGAAGAAGCCAGAGGACCAGGAGCAGCTCTTGCAGCAAGTACAAGGGGGGAGGGGGGGTCTGGGTCTTTATTTGCCTAGCAGCAATTAGGAAGCCATCAGCCGCTCCTCCCTACCTCTCCAGGATGCCTACCTCAGTCTCCTAGGACACAAAGACAAGTGCCCTGCCTTGTTTAGCGTGGGTGGGAGAGACTGTAACCATACAGGAAAGACTCTAGGTAGCTGAGGTCTTCCTGGGAGCAGACAGGAGGACCAGCCAGTCCACACTGGCATTCTGATCTGTGATTTTTTTTTTTTTCCAGACCTGCCAGGGCCTGCCCAACCTAGATCCCAACCTCCAACAAAAAGCCTGACCCCTAAGTCAGCAGGAGGGACAGGACTTTGAGAGCCAGGGTTCCTTGGCTGTACTGTGTGGTGTTAGCCTGACACTTGTCTCCTCTGGGACTTCCTGCCTGGCCTCTAAAGGGTAGAAGGTTAAGCTCCAAGTCACAACTCTGGCTGGGCCCCAGCCTACTTGGAGCCCGGCCTCCTACTGGTCAGGCCCCTTTCAAGTGCTCATGGAAAGGGCCCCAGGGGCTGTCATTCAAAGGGGCCCGGGAACATGGGGGTAGGTCAAGGGTGGGGATAGACTGAGGCTGCAACTCAAGCTTACTCACAGGCCTGACAGCAGAGGACTCCAGCCAGGGCAGGACCTGCAGGTTTCACTTCTCACAAGCCCTTCCCTGAGGAACCAAGCCACCCCACAAGAGGAGCAGGGAGTCATGTGGCAAGAGATGGCTGTTGTGGTGCAGAGATGGACAGGGCAGGTAGTCCGGGGGTCAAGGAACATGTGGGAGAAGGCCCCCAGACTAGCTAGACCCACGTGGGACTAGCTGCCTCATGACCCCAACCCCCCCAAGCATTTTTTAGCAAGGGGTGGCACTTCTTAGAGTCCCACCTCCTCCACCAGCCGGTGGTTACTGAATAACCAAGTCAGATAGAGAGGGACCAGCTATCTCCTAGCTATTAGCTGACAATCCAACTCATTTTTTCCCAGGACCTCGATAATAACTTTATCAACTTCATTAAGACTTTATCAACTAAGAATGATTAATTCTGGGCTAGGAACAGAGAACTATGTGTCTCAAAGTAGCAACAGATAATGAGCAAACACTACCCCTAGGTACCCCCCTCACCACCACCACAAGACCCCAAGAGCAGCCTGATGTCTGGAGAGGTAGAAACAGGCCCCTCGCCTCAGTCACCCCTGCGCACTGTCTCCTCCTCCACTGCTCTGCAACCATGACCAAGGCCGTGAGATGATGGGGTTTAAACTCATTACCACCCGTGCATGCTTCAACTAGGACAATCTCAAAGACCAACACTGGGATGTGGCTGCAGGTGACCTTGGCACTTCCCCTGAGGAAATGAACCTGGTGACCTATTCTTGGGTGTGCCTAGGGTCAGCAGTTCTGAAAAGGATAGAGGGCTGGGTACGGTAACAGCCAGACCAGGGTCAACGCGGACAGTGCCACCACCCTCACCCTCTACCAAGCCCTCCACCAACACTGGGAGATATCCTAGTAGGGAAGGGCCAGCCAAGAACAGACACCCAAGGGCAGAGTCCTGAGTCATGCCTGCAGTTGTCAAGAGGAAGCGGGGCCGGGCCAGGCTGGGAAGGCCTGAGGAGAAAGCTTCCTTGGGGTAGGGATCAGGCCCATGGATCTCATGCCTCTTGTCTTCCTCCCCTAGATGGTTCTGTTCTGAGAGACAGGAATGACTTGGGGCTCAGTTAGCTAACTGGCGAACCTCCCAGTCTTTGGAACAATGGCTGCACATACAGCATGGGTGGCGGGGTGCTCGTGGCCACATAGCTGTTGTCCTGCCCAGGGAAGTAGGATGATGGCCTTCTCTG